TCTGGATGGTTAACAACCTAAGTTTGCAGACCAAAGTTAGAGAAAAAGGAGGGCTGCAAGGAAAGCCAACATTTTGGCCCTAGCCTTTAAGATCAATTAAGACTCAGGACATATGAGAACTTGTACAGTAACGTCATGTACCTCGGTAGTGTCCCAAATTTTCTGATCAAGGAGATTATGGGGGCCAAAGAGGAAAGTGATCCATGATGTAGTGTGTGCCTAAGGAGAGTCACATGGAGAGAAAACATTTTCTCAGGCTTTCACAGAGAGCACATTGGCCAAGCATTGGCCGTGAGTCATCCACATGGCTGACACTGACAAAGGTTCTATAATCTGAGGTACAGCCTCTCAGGATAAATCCTGAGGGTGTTTCCCTGACCTTATCAGACCCAACAGCTACAACTCTTGTTGCATAAGTCCTGCTTTACCTTGGTCTTAACCATCCAGCAGAAAAGTATAAAAACAAAATGTAAGAAGTAAAGCCATGCTGTTATGTTGAGCTGTAGGGGAATCAGGTCAACAATTTCTGACTTTGCCAGTCAAGTGGAAGACCCAATACTGTTATGGGCTACTGGACTCTTTTAGAATATTTTGCTGAGTTAACACACCTATAATATTCAAATAACCGAACTTAACCAAAAAAGGGGATAGAGATGAATGTCCATTTTGTATCTATGTATTCAGGGTGGTTAGGATAGGTATATAGTTACATTCTCTTAATGAATAGAGTGATTTGTTCTAATGGTGTTAGGACGTCATGTCCGCATCTTGTACAGCAATTAACCACTAGGAAGAATGTATACAATGTGACAATTATTGAAACTGTCCTACCAATTTGATTTGAAACTGTCTCATTGCTATTTGTTTATCAATAAGATTATGGGAAAAAAATAAGTATATAATTCTTTATGCTTATTTTTAAAAATATATTCTAATTTTTAAGTGTTTTTCATCATATTCTATAGTGACTTAAAATTCAACACATCAGTACTTGGTGAAAAATACCTGTTCCATGTTTTGCATAAGATGTTTGATACTCAGACAGATTATGAGGTGAAGCTTAACAGCCTAGGTTGTATGGTAATAACAATAAGGCTATCTTCTGGATGGTTAACAACCTAAGTTCATAGTCCAAAATTATAGAGAAAGGTGGGCCTAAAGGAAAGCCAACATTTTGGTCCTATCCTTCCAAGGTCACTTAAGACTCAGGACATATGAAAACTTGTACTGTAGCGTCATATAACTCGGTAGTGTCCCAAATTTTCTGATCAAGGAGTTTGTGAAACCAAAGAGGAAACTGATCGATGATGTAGCGTGTGCCTAAGGAGAGTCAAATGGAGATTAAACATTCTCTCAGGCTTTCACAGAAAGCACATTGGCCAAGCAATGGCCGTGCCTCACCCACATCGTTTATACTGACCAAGGTTCTACAATCCGAGGTACAGAATCTCAGGATAAATCCTGAGGGGATTTCACTGACCTTATCAGACCCAACAGCTACAACTCTTGTTGCATAGGTCCTGCTTTACCTTGGTCTTAACCATCCAGCAGAAAAGTATAAAAATGAAGTATAAGAAGTAAAGCCTTGCTGTTATATGTTGAGCTGTAGGGCAATCAGGTCAACAATTTCTGACATTGCCAGTCAAACGGATGACCCAATAGTATTATGGACTTCTGAACTCTTTTAGAATATTTTGCTGAGTGTACACACCTATAATATTTAAATGATGGAACTTAGCAAAAAAAGGGAATACAGATGAATGTCCATTTTGTGTCTGTGCATTCAAAGTGGTTAGGATAGATATGTAGTTACATTCTCTTAATAAATAGAGTGATTTGTTCTAATAGTGTTTGTAAATAGGATATCAGGCCCGCATCCTGTGCAGCAATTAACCACTAGGAATAATGTATGCAGTGTGTTAATTATTGAAACTGTCATACCAATTTGTTTTGAAACTGTCTCATTGCTATTTGTTTCTCAAAATTATGAGAAAAAAATGTTTATATATATAAGTAAATCGAATCTTGCCAGGTGTGGTAGCACACACACCTGTAATCCCACTACTTGGGAATTTGAGGCAGGAGAAATGCTATGAATTTGAGACCCGCCTGGGCTATATAATGTGGTCAAGGTGAGGTTGAACTTCATAAGAACATTGTCTTGAAAGCAAAGAAAACAAAAAGGGAAGAGGAAAGATCTTTACCCCAAAACTAAAAAGATATTCTTTTTCTTTACATAAATTTGTTTTAGGCATTATTTTTAAAATGAAATTCAAACATTATCTAGTACATTTAGTTCTATGTATAAAATAAGATTCATAATTCCTTGTTTTAAATATAAAAAGTGTTCTTGGCTGGCCAAATAACTCAGCGGATTAAAGGGCCTGCCCGCAGGCTCAGGGGCCTGGGGTTCCATCTCCAGGCCTGCCATGCGGGCCCTGCACCCGGGTCATGCTGAGATTGCAATTGAGACTGGGCGTGTTGGCATGTGCCTGTAATCCGAGCTCTTGGGAGGCTGTAAACAGGCGGATCACTGCGAGTCCTATCTAGTAGTGAGACCCTGAACACCCTGTAGACTCATCCCTAAAATACAAAAAAAAAAAAAAAAAAAAAAAAAAAGTATTCTTTATTGATAAACTATCCTTTCCATTGTGAAATGCATTAGTACCTTGGTTAATAATTCAGGTTAATTTTTATTATGGACTTATTTAATTTATTTATCTTTTCTCTAGGGAAAAGTCTGCAGGGTGTTCAGGGTCTCACTACTAGATTGACTTGTAGTGATTCCCGTGTTACAGCCTCCCAAGTGCTAGGATTACAGGTGTGTGCCACCATGCCCAGTTTCAATTGCCATCTCAGCCTGCCCAGAGGGGTGGGGCCAGCCCTGCAGTCCTGGGGATGAAACCCCACCCCTAATCCACTGAGTATTTGGCCAGCCCTGGATTTATTTTTGGAATGCTTCCTGTTTCATTGATATGTCTGTTGTTTGTCACAGTACTTTAAAAAATATTATAGTTTCATAAGTCTTGATACTTAACTTTGTTCTTCAAAATTGTCTTTGTTCTTAGTTACTTGAATTCAATAAAGTTTATACTGAGCTTGTTGGTAGTCTCCCACATATCAGTCCACCTCACCACCAAAGTAGGGGAGGGAATCTTCGTAGGATTTTGAGTAGTTAAATGTACAATTTATAGATCAATTTGTGTATATTGCCATATTTCTGTATTGAGACTTTCATGGCAGTAACCAGATTGTATGCTGCTGCATAGTAGATTAGTGTATTTCTCTCAGAATATTTTTATTACTTTGAAGTCTTGTTTTGTTAACTTTTAAAGTCATGGTAATTACATTGCATATATATTTTTGAAACATGATCACTAGACCATTTACAGATGACATGATACAGTGTTTGGTGTTTGCTTCTAACAGTGGGAGGGCACAATAAAAGAAAGAAGCAAGGTTAACCAAGAGTTAAAAATTGTTGAAAAACTGGGTGATGAATATATAAGATTAATCATAGTATTCTTTTTACTTTACATATTTTGAAGTTTTCCATAAAAGTAGGTTTAAGAAAGTAATGAGGCTGAGTGTGATGGTACATGTCTAATTCTGACCACTTGGGAAAATCAGTTGAACCCATGAGATTGTGATCAGCTTGGGTGATACAGCAAAAAAAAATTTTAAAAAACCCTGTAATGTATATAGTAGATTAAAATGCATAAATATATAAGAAGCCAAGAATTCACATTTAAAAAAAAAAAAAAACAAATATAGACACCATTCTAACAGTACCTGATAAAGGGAAAAAGTCAACTGCTTACTCATCTTTTTCTCTGCATATCATATTCCAAGATTATCAAATAGGAGAAAAAGATTGTCTTTGGCAGAAGGTACTTATTAATAAATTCTAGGGAATAAAAGGCTTAGAAACTCACAGTACAAATTCCATTAGCGTAATGATTAATGACTTATAGAGCTATTAGGTGAAAATTTGTTGGAAATGGGTAAAGTATAATGGATAAGACAAAATATAGTAAGCCTGTCTCTTTGGCTGTTTAGGATTAAAAACTCTGGGTAGAATACAACAATCAACAATCTGAAGACTAAAAACATAGCAGACAGATTGAGAAGGAAAGTCAAAACTTGAAGAATAGCTGTGTCATGGTAAGCTTGTAAATTTTTTCTTTCTGTGACCCAGCTTTAACAGAATGGTGGGCTAGATTGTAGCACTTCACTACACTATACTAGAGCAATTGGCAGAAAATTTTAAGAGAAACCTTTTTTTCTAGCCAAGGGACAAAGAAAAGTGACCATCTCTTTTTTTTCTGTTCTACCTGTCCTGAAACTACCTCCACTTATAAAATCTCATTATAATGGTGGCACAAACACTTAACCCCATGAGGGGGAAAATGCTCTTTCTGGCCAAGGGAATTTGTAAAGAACTCCTAGAAAGCTGGAGCATGATTTCATAACCCTAGAAGGGTTATGCACTAATTGTGTATTTAAACCCTGAAAGATCCCACTTTATCCAAGTTCCTCATGCTCAGAACAGACCCAGAGAAACACAACCAAGACTTAGTGAGCTGAACTACAGTATAAACCATGGTTCAGATCCCAAATGGATCCCTGAGTGATGCATGCAGAGAGTGAACCCAAACAGCAACACAAAGGCATTAAAACCTGAGCTTACATTGGAACCACTACCCACAAAAGACAAGGCAGATCTTGGGGTCTAAATTTAATTTAAAAAGTCAGATTTTCTAGATGTTAATAGAACCACCTCATAAACTTATTCAGAATGTCTAGGATATAACCCAGAATTCCTTTACATTGAAAGAAATGGGAAAGTCTGACCATTTTTAAAGGAAAAAGGCAATAGATAAATACCAAACCTTGGACAAGATCCAAGTGATGGAATTGGCAAAAAAAAAAAAAAACCCTTTCAGTAGCTCATGCTCATCACATGAAAGTAAACTTGAAATGGACAGACCACGATTTGTTCCTGATACTCCCAAATTTTCCAGTGAAACATAGAAACTAGAAATAAAAAAGGAATAAGATAGAAATTTAAAATTGAGAAATACAACATATGAGGTACAAATTTACTGCATGGACTCATCAGCAGAATGGAGATGACAGAGGAAAAGAGTCAGTGAATTTGAACATAATCCAGAAGTCCCATCAAATCTTATGTTTCCTGTATCAAGAAAGAATATATATCTGTTCTGTAATACTTGTAAGTCCATGTTGTAATCTGAGAAACATGGTCACAGGGCTTCTGGGTGGCAAAATAATCTGCCAGCAACACATCATCATAGTCCTTATGATTGATCCTGCTCATGTGCTGCAAAGATCCCCTGTTCGGTTCAAGCATCTTCTTCTCACTTAATAGATTCAGTGTCTTGGTTTGCCATTATCCTAGACTTTGTTGTTGCATGATGATAACCAAGGAATTAGTCAATAGAAGAGCATAATAGTCATCGGATGGACTGTATATATTCACATTTCTTTTTTTACTTGAAAGTAAATAGAGGCAGCAAGGTGAGTGGAAATGGGCAACATGTGTAAGTCAGATTGCAAAATTTTACAGCTTAAAATAAATGAATTTTGTCTTATGAACTGACGTAATGATTGTTTTGGTGAAGTGCTTGATGGTGGTTGTTTTCTGACTAATCTGTGGTTCAGGGTGCTTGCTTGACTGGTTCTCAGATGGTTGAGAATTGCTTGGCTCACTTGGCTGCACAAAAGCAACTGGGCAGTCTGCCAAGTTTTAATAGGTCAAAACAAATGTCTTTGTAATGAAAATGATTTACATTATGAATACCCAAGGTCTTGAAATGAATATGTTTTGATGACATTTTCAGTGACTACCTGGCCTCTTTGGTAGAGTATATATATCAAAGTATTGTCATTATATTTGTGCATATTATTTGTATGCTGTTGAATGTCTTATAAGCTTATAGCTAGGCCTTGTATTTTGTAATTTACTTAATCAAATTCTTAAGAGGTCCATGAAGTATTTATAACATTATTAGTGAAATTCTGTACTGTTTTAGATTGAGAAATATTTTTTCTCTAATTCTGAAGAGCCATCTCAGAACTTTACACACATTTGGCTTTTTAAAGTAATAGGGTATTCTGCAAAACTTATGATTTAATTAATTTGGTGATCTGAGCACAGATTTAGTCATTTTTGTACATGACAGCAATTAAATAAAATAAAAGGGAAAGCATGTTCTCATATTCTCTTGAACATTAACCAGTTTTGTCATTCAGAAGAATATCTATAAACCGTGTTAATACATAAAATAGTGATAAAATTAGACTTCAGATGTGGTTGAATTCATGCAACTTGAATTATATACATTATTTTTTCAGTTCCCTTGAAGAAACATACTGACAGTTCAGGAGTTAGAGATTTAATTACATGGAAGTTTAGTCTTTTTAACTATTAGTAAATCAAATTATTATTTGATGTTTCATCTTTGCTCCAAATATTACTTTCACCAAAGAGAGGCTGATTCATGGTTTATAGTAGCCAGAATAAAGACCTTCCAAAGGTATCTGTTGTAATTCTCAGAACCAGTGACTGTTACATTACAGGACAAGGACAAATTGAGGCTGCTTATCAGCTACCCTTAAAATGCGGAGATTCACCTGAGTTATCTTGTTTTTATAATCACAAGGGTCTTTATAGGGGAACAGAGAGGTGCAGAAAGAATAACAGCTTGAGAAGTACTAGCTTGAAGATGAAGGAGGCTCCAGTAAGCTGAGAGGAGTGCATGACCTCTGGAAGCTTGAAAAGACAGGAAACATTCTCCATTAGGCCTTCTAGAAAAGAATACAGTCCTACTTGTGCCTTGATTTTAGCTCATTGACTTGGACCTATCGAACTGTGATATAATAAATTTATGTTTTAATTGAATACATTTTGGATAATTTATTATGGTAGCCAATGCAAAGTAGTGCATAGCACCTCAGTGTAATTGTTCGCTAGCAATGTAAAATTTATAGTGATTGAATTCTGATTTGAAGAACAATGTGATTTTCTGTAATATCAAATTTACTTTATTACACTAAGAAGACTTCTGTGATTAAAATATTTTGGGCACTAGTGAACAAGCCTTTGTCTGTACAGGGATCTTTGTTTTTGTACTTCATAGGAATGGTGAGTAGTTATCTAGAAAATAGGGGATAAGTTTATAATGAGGGTAGAGTGGTAAATAAGGCTAGAGCAGTAGACTAAAGTTAAAAATTAAAGTATAAAACAAAGGTTCAGACACCTTGGTTTGTCTTCAGCAAATTCATTTTGTGTTATATGTATCTATTACATATAACATTCTCCATTAGGCCTTCATTCATAGTAAGTACTATGAATTAGAATTACTAGTTTTTAATTGTCTGCACTACTTGAGCTGTAATAGAGTCATAAAATCATAATTAATGCACTTTGCTATTAAAAAAAAAAAAAAGCTCCTGGAATGGCTTATCTGAGCCGATGAATGTGCGAAGTGCTCAATGGCCAAAAAATAATAGAGTTTAGACAAACAAGAAGACAAACAGTGAATCATTGCTGATAGAGGATGTTAGACTACCTGACTGATTATAAACTCATTGTGTTTGATTTTCCTGACCTTCTCAGTTAAACTCACATTGCTTCTTTCCGCTGTGCTAGGATGAGAAACTAAGGGCCCAATAAAGATGAAGAAAGTGCGAGAGGTGTTTGGGGCGTTTTTTGTTTTCTTTTAAAGTACAAAGAAAGATCACAAAAATGCTTGTCTTTCTGTCTTTTCATATCAGGTGAATCACACACAATCCCAGTTTATGTGGGTGAGATAGTGGACATAAAGTGCTTAAAATGGAGACTGTGATGTGTGTATAATTACTGGTAATGATAAGTTAGTTCTAGGGTAACATCAAGAGAATTGGATAGGAAATAGGAGGGACATAAAATTGTTGCACAAGAGGTGACTGAGGAACTGATTGACCAAGATGTGGAGAAATCCTTTTCTATATTAAAATACTATACTAATACAGAACAAGTTTTGAAGAGGAAGTGAGAGGGCTAGTCCTGGGTATATATAAATGGCCAAGATGAGAAGATAATTGCTGATGCACTCTGGTGGCCTAAAATTCAAAGCTGGGATTTCAGGGAGGGGAGAAAGGAGAATAATTCAGATGACAATAAGGTGATCTACCTTTTGCAGGGGCTATTTATCTGAGCCAAGCAAGAGAAAATGCCCATTAGTTGAGGGAGAGCAGAACCCTTAAGAGGAAAGTGAGATTTCAATGTTGAAAACAAAACAGAGGAAATAGGAGATGTTGCAGAGGACACAGTGAAAGGATTCTGGAAATGAGGCAAAAAAGGGAGCAGGAGTGAGTGTTGGGATATTTAAAGGTTGTATAGGGATCAGAGTTCAGATGATAATGAATGACCTAGAATCTTGGAGTTCCTGGTGACTGATGTAAAAGGGATGCAGAGCATAATAGAATTTTTTTTTCCATTTATATATTTGGTACAGGATCTCATTGTGCAGCTCAGCATAATGGATTTTTTTAAATTTATTTTTTAAAGACTAAAATTAGAATTAAAAAAATTAAAAGTGATACAAAACATCACTTAACAAAGTAATATGAATTTCTTAGTATTTGTTGTAATACATACTGTTGTCTTCTAATCAGTTATTCATATTACCAGATATATGCATGTAAAATTGAAAAAAGAAAAAAAAGAAATGTATAAGAAATTAAGAGAAAAAGTACAGTTGAATAATGGAGACAAACAAATTATCTGCTGTCTTCCATAGATGAAGAGAGATGCACAGTACAGTTGTCCAAACCATCCTGCTTACATACCTAGATAAATCTCTTTCCCCAACTCCCTCTCCTGTCCTCTTCAACTCAGTAACTCTTCTCCATTTTTAATAAATTCATGTATTTATGCATGGGGGTCTGGTTTATTTCACTTATGACTATGTCTTCAAGTGGCATCCACTTATGTATGAAGGCTTCGAGTTTATCTTTATAGCTGAGTAATACATCATTGTATAAAAATACCACATCTTTTTCATCCATTGCTCAGGTGACGGGTACTTTGGTTGTTTCCAAGATTTGACTCACAGATTGTGCTGCTATAAACATAGGTGCACATATATAACTGTGAT